CGATCGAGTATCGCCGAATTTAATGGAACGACTGTTCGGGCCGCGCTCGTGTCGCGGAAACGCGCTCGATTTTTACCTCTCTTCTCCCATTGGTTTTTTCGACGGTTTTTAGCATACGCGTTAGACAGGGTAAACACCGTCGGCGAGATTACGTGCCGGCGCATGTATGCGCTATGCGCGGCCGCGTAATTGGTACGTGTGCCGGCGGAAGGCCCGTTCGTCACGAACCATAGAAGAGAGCATCGGGAATCGTTGGAAAACTCGGCAGGTAAATCACTTTCGCTCGTGTTACGGACGAATTAACCGCGGGCCGCGGGCGCGCGCGGAGATAAGGCTGCCCGGCGAGGTAATCGCAAAAATAGTTGCCCGCAAACTTACCCCGAAGTTATCGCGCGATTATATGGATTTTTTAAGCACCTCTGCGCGGCGATCACGGCGCCCCGTGGCGCGCCCGCTTGCTCGCTCGTTTGCTCGCCGGATGAAGAGGAGATTTCGGAGCTGAGACCGACGGGCGATGTTAAATAACGCAGATCTAAGGAAATTATTTATACTCGGTTTCCTTTTCGCTAGAGAGATTTGTTTCATAAATTAAATTCCGCTGGCTGGTGATTTATTTTGGTACGAGAATGGGAAAACGGAGGCTTGTAAGAGGGTGTCGCTCTTTGAACTTTAAAAAGTAAAAGCTCGGCTGATTTATGCGGAGCAAGGTCTCAACGGCCCGTCACTTGACATTGCCTCCGGCTGCTTAGCACCTGCAAGAGTCTATTGAGAAATTTTTAGAACGAAATTACCAACCGCAAGAGGGATATCGGCAAGCTGTCCGGGCGCGGAGATGTTCTTTTGTTTATTGGCCCCATCGAGAGTTCAGTCGAGCACTGGGGAACACCTTGAAACTCGCGCCTCGGAGTTAGTTAGGATATTCATCATAGTGAAAGTGATGAACAGCGAGGATTCCGCGAACAATGTCACTATTTCAACGTGAATCGGGTAATGTTTTATCCCGCTGACGACGTAAGTTCTGCTTACGGCCCCGGACGTTTCTCAGGAGAGATCTGTCATGCGATATCGACCGTTGCACACAAAACGTTCTCGCATTATGAATTTCTTTTCATTAGCATTTGAAATCTCGTATGAGACGCATTCAGCTTTTCACGCTTTTCATAAATAAATACAATAAATCAATAAATCTTCTATTCCTACTGTTTTAACTTCATATCTTAAATTTTTAAATTGCACTCTTTAAGGAAAGATAAAATATACATGAACAAATCTATGAACATTTTAACACAGAAAGGGGGATAAATTTTAAATTTCTGTAATTATTGAATCAAAACGAAACACTGTGAATTTTACAAATACTGCCAGAAAATATGTTTAATGTCCTAAACCGAAGAACCACAACGGCACTTTGGAGTGTCGAAAATATCAACGCGAAGAAGTGAAGCATGTTGGTGATAATGACTTACTCGACATCGATTGATAGTTACAATGAAATCGGAAGAAATTCTCCTCCATCAAATCAAGGGTTTAACATATTACGATAATAACTCATAAAAAACAATTGTCCTTTAAAATCCCCTTGATGCTTCAGAATGTCCCGTGTCACCGTATAAGCTTCCTTGAAGTTCTTCATATAAATCTTTATAAAGAATTAGTAACGAGTCAGAAGGTACCGTTTTAGTAACTAATTTGGCTAATTAGCATTTGCTGCCTCATTACTTTGAAATACGTGAAGCAATTCAGAAAAATTTTATAATACTATTATTTGAAGTTCCTTTTCAAGAAATAATTGAGTTTCCTTTTTATCTGAAGGATATACTAATTAGTTTTAATATCTGTTATTATGAAGACATTATGACACACTTAATGACTCGCTAAAAGTAAAGAAATTCTAATTGGCATCATCTAAAGCGATACTCATCTCTTTAAGCATTATAATAATATATGAACCCTTCCGAGTGAATCTGTATAGCAGTAGCACATAAAAGGGAATCAATCTTTGTCTACTGTCCACATCGTCAAGCTAGCATAAAACACAGTTATCAAGAAGCAGCCATAAGAAAGCGCGGTTAACTCTGAAGAAATCGCTCATCAGTCATATCAATATCTGTGCACAGATCGGTCGTTAAGTAACTGGCGCAATGCGCGTCGACGTGAAATCGTGTGCTTTTAGTTCAAGCATATTTCCTCTCGTAAAAATTTCATAGGGGACGATACCGAAGCAAAAAGCGGGCCAAAAAGCATACCAGAATCCAGAAATAGATATACATATATTGGGTGAACCTCATAACATGACGACCTCGAATAACTTGTAATGTATTTGTTGTATAATAAAAATGTTTAAACAGGGAAACATGCAGTTCTGTGATTTGTTCTTTAATAAAGAAAGATCTAATGTTCTGGCGACCAATCACGTTGACTGAGCTCATGAAATATTTCCTAATAGATTATTAATTTTAAGAAATTGGTGCTTCATTGAAATTCGAGGAAAAATATTAAATATTCCATTTAAAAAAACTGAAGGTTTCACATCTCGATAAAAGAGTAGAGAAACAGAGAACAGATCACGTCACTGCATGCTATCTGGAAGCCACGCAAAATTTGTTAAAAAATGTATATGATACAACAGAAATCTTACAAGTTGCTCGAAGTCGTGTTATGAAATTCACCCTGTATATGCACATACACATACCCGTAAATATGCAGCGCGTATATTTTCATAGATATTCGGATAGGATTTTGCGGCCGGCTCTCGCATCTCTTCTTATATCATTCCCTGTCAATCCGGCGAAATTCAGATTTCGCCGGCCGACCAGCATTGAAACCAGCGAGGGGATCGAAGCACGGCCGCAGTCGGTCAGATTGTCGCATGTCACCCCCAGCCAGCGCCAAACCCTCTCGATTATGCAATCGCCCGTTTGCAATGTAAAATGTCCCGTCCCAATTACGCATACGCGCGTCCACCGCTGGGGCAGAATATGGTCGTCGAAAGTGTCATCAGCGTTTGAAACCGAGAAGATTGATATTCCGCGTTGCTGTTGGACGTCCGGCGGGAAATGCCGGAATCCTCAAAACGTTTTACTTAAATTCAAGATTTTATCGTACGCAAAGAGTTGAACCGCTCGTAAAAATGAAACGTTTGCCAGCGATTTGCAGATAACACGTCACCGTTAGGTACGAACACTCGTGAGGGACGAACGACTCGAGATTACACGCGGGCCGACCGATGAATTTTTTCCAGTTACACCGATGCCAAACGGGATTTATCGAGCGTAATGTCATTACGCAGGTTTGCAACAGCACGGCTGCTGTCTCGAGCATTCGTTTTCGCTCGTTTTCTCTTTTTCCTCCGCCGTTCTCCCTCGTTCCTTTCTTTTTTCTCGTTTCCGCGCGGACGACGCGACGGAAGAAGGGCGCGAGGGAGAAAGCGGCCGGGGGGAGGGCGACGCCGTAATATCCGAGGGAAAATTTGTTCAGCGAAATGAAATTATCCAGCGACGATCTTGCATTATACTCGCGGCCGAACGTGCCCGGCATAACGCGCCGGGGTCCGCCACGTACCTCTAATACGTGGAATACGTATCGAACAGCCGTATCGTAACTTCCGTTCTTCCCGAACCCGTCGGGACTCCGCCTTGAACGTCTGGCTATGTAGTTTTACCGTTGCTTTTACTGCGAACAAATTGATTCGTCTCGCTCTTGGCGCGATGAGGTTTAATTTGTAACGACGACACGTTCCGTCCGGAGCCGTTGGTTCTCGAGAGATGTAAGTACTTACTGACTGTCGATCGAAGCAACGGGACGCGACGCCCGAGACGGAGATAGCCGGACGGGGGCAGGGGTACGGATACACAAGGGCGGAAGGGGATGAAGTTACAACACACGGGGATTAAGTTCGCTTTGATCAAGCGCAAGTTGCGTGGAACGTCAAAGAGCGGTAGATAATTAAGCGGCGACGGATTCCCGCTGCAGAGGGCAAGGGGAGTGACCTGGAGTTGGCCCGACGCAACGTCTAACGAAACGAAGAAGAAATAGGAATAATGAGAAAAACTTCGACACCAACGCCCCCGCAGCTAGTCGCGTAACCAACGGTTTTAATTAAGGCGATGGCGCAAACACACCGCGTATACGATATTTGTACTCGTCCTATATTTGCGGGAAACGATCCAGTTTCCTTTCTTTCGCCCTCCCCCCTCTGTCGTCGAACGGCGATCGCGTCGCGCCACTTCCTTAAATTAATCTCCGTTCGCCAGCGGATCAAGACCGGGTAACAATCTCGGCGACTTATCCGCCAGTCGATCGGATCTACTAAAAACGTTCATCCGTTATCGAGCCGGTATCGCGGAAATACGTCCCACGGGACTGATAACGCAACCAACCGCATCGAAATGATTGGCCGCTTACTTATTCCACGGTGTACGCGCGGAAATTACGTTTGCTCCGGCGCAGCCGCGCGTACGTTAAATATTTTCCGACCGCACGAAACCCATTCCCCGAGATTCTGATCGTCGATCGTACGTCGAGATCCCCGAGGGCCGCGAGCCTTCCGTGGTGCCGCGATCGTTACCAAAAGGCACTCGTTAAGCAACAATTTATTCGAGGAGCCAACGCAACCTTGCAGGTCCGCGTGCTACATTCTTGCTCTCGTCTTTATCTCCGTTTCATCGAGGGGATGAAATAAGATAGGACACGGAAGGACGTGGCGGGTTCTAAACATAATCCGCGCGTATATTTTTCCTCCCTCGAGACCGAGGCTTAAACTTAACTGGCCTCGGCGAAGAGGGTAAATTCTAAATTGCAATATCCCACGGCAGCGATATAGAAGCTAAGACTCGTTCCCGTCCGTTACCGGAGAAATCCCGTGCCGAGCGTTACGTGCGTGCGGCTCTTTACCTGACCGAAATACGGGACACTGTCTAAGGTCACGTAGGTATCGCGTCCCGAGAAATACGCTGAGAGACTTCGGCATAGTCGACGTGTCAGAAGCAATCGGCACTTACGTGTTCCGTCGAGCTGATGCGTAAAGAAGATTCAACCGTGCTGGATCATACCGGAGCACACATGCACACGCGCCCCTTTAATCCCGCAGCGCTTCCTCCGATCGAGAATCTCACGATCGGGTGACGACGTATACCGTGCGAGACCGAAGTTCCTCGAACCGATGCGCAGATCTATCGATCGATATTCAGAAATCCAGTCGGTCTACATCTTCTTCTGGTTACCAATAAAAATCTCTGTTCTTCTTGTTCCCGTTCGTAACCGGACCGATACTTTTTACCGGTAACGGATTATCACGATTATCGAGATCACGCGGTCACAATTTGTTTATCGTTCGAATGCGAGGAAACGGTTTCACCGTCCATTGACGGCGATCGAAACACTTGTTACCGAAACGGGGAAGTGGCCGCGATCGTATCGGACGAACTGTATGCGGCCGGCAGCCTCGCGCGAGACGAACTCGGTGTATCCTCGAGCCGGTGGGATACCGATGCCGACTCCGACTCCGACGCCGGCGCTTGCCGCCGCCGCTGCCCGCCGGGGGTCGAGGATGGCTCCGGCTTCGCGACTGCGCCCTTTCGCCCCCTCTTCAACCCATTACGGTTCTCACCCGTTCGCGCGCGCTCGAAACCTTATCATACATACAGAGACGGTCACGATGTACGATGTAAGGCCAACGCGCCGGTATTCGCGCGCTCGCGCGTCCCCGGCCCTACAATAACCTTCCCCTCCCTCCCCCCCTTCCACCCCTTTTGTAAGTGTGTTTCTGTGTGTACGTACGTGCGAGAAGGGGTGCACTGCCTCATCCTCACCGTCGGCCATCCATCCCCCCGAGGCCTCGTCCCCTTCGGCCGCAACACGTAGCAAAGCCAGCTACTCGGCCTGACTACCGTGCACACCTCGCGATACATCATCGTATCGCTTTATGTCTCGCGTAACATTTTATTAACCAGAAATCAAGCGCCCCGAGCTTCCCCGCCTCGCCCCAACGAATAATCTCTTCGCGGCGAGCTTGAATCAGGCACGTTCCACGAAGCGAGATTTCAGAAGAATCAGTTCGAATGGATAATTGACTCGTCAGTGTTTGTACGAGCGTTGAACGGCGGCAAGGTGGAACAGGGGGGTGGGCAACGGACCACGTGGTCGCTGTCGATTGACGAGTCGGAAGATGGTTGATCAATTGCGGAACAGTCCCGTTCCGGTGTCTATCGACAGTCGAACGAGACCTTCCTGGTGATTGTTGTCTGAGAACGTGGACTAGAAGGGATGGTTCTAATGGGCTGCTTGCCCGTCCGATTCTCGTTTCGAGGAAATCCTTTATTGAGTGTCTTATCGCTTCTGCGTCGCGTGATTGATATCCCGAAGGTGGGAACCACGGGATGTGGGATAAACCGTCGGATTAAATGTCTTGAATGGATAAACCGCGGGGCGAGCTATATTACTAAGAAAGCTAAAGAGTCAGTGGGAACTGTGGATTGCTTTGTTTTACTGGGACGATAGAAATAGTCTTTGCCTTTATTAAAGTTGATTATTTGCTGGGAATTATTTTCTATTAAAAAGAATTTGTTTAAAAGTATTAAAACACAGCGCAGGAACTAGGAAGATGGTTGATCAATTGCGGAACAGTCCCGTTCCGGTGTCTATCGACAGTCGAACGAGACCTTCCTGGTGATTGTTGTCTGAGAACGTGGACTAGAAGGGATGGTTCTAATGGGCTGCTTGCCCGTCCGATTCTCGTTTCGAGGAAATCCTTTATTGAGTGTCTTATCGCTTCTGCGTCGCGTGATTGATATCCCGAAGGTGGGAACCACGGGATGTGGGATAAACCGTCGGATTAAATGTCTTGAATGGATAAACCGCGGGGCGAGCTATATTACTAAGAAAGCTAAAGAGTCAGTGGGAACTGTGGATTGCTTTGTTTTACTGGGACGATAGAAATAGTCTTTGCCTTTATTAAAGTTGATTATTTGCTGGGAATTATTTTCTATTAAAAAGAATTTGTTTAAAAGTATTAAAACACAGCGCAGGAACTGCTGCTGGCGCAAGTTGAAATTATATAAGTATGGGTAACGAGTCGTCTTATAATTATTCTTAATATTATACCAAGTTTTTGCGGGATTATGATCCTTAATAAAAGCGGGGTGTACATCTAAGAGGATTTCCTTCAAAAAGTATAGCTGGATGTTTAAAGAACCGGCGGGGAACGAGAAGAAAGTCCTTGAAAGAACTGGCTTCGAGCAGCGTCTTGTTTTATTAGTTTATAAGTGAACTAATTAAATAGTTTTGCATATATACAAAATTTATGTATCAACTTTCATAGTACTTTATAAGTAAAAATTATAGATTTTTATACAAAATAAAATACTTATGGCACTGATCTTTTAATATAATCTTGAATATGAATCTTTCTTGGAAGTACCAGTTCTACTCTTTAATCTGTAGAGGAGAAAAATTATAATTAATAATACTTTCTATGTATCCAGACTTTTGAGCCACTCTGTATAGACGCATAAAATCAGATGTCTCTTTATAAATAAGCACACAGTGCAGAACGTGATACACGCATGATTCGCCAAATGATTATATCATCAGAGCGAATAGGCGGCACCGAACGCTCAATTTCCCTGCTATCTAAAAAGGGAACGAAATGCAAATCAGCAATCATGTGCCAAGAGCCCGGCCAAGAAGCGAGAGCCCGTAAACGAAAGCTCGAAGTATAGCGCCGTCGACCGATTTAATCGCAATCGAATTTCGTCGCTGGCAGAATTTCAATAACTCCCGTACGTAGTTACATACATGCATACATACATATAGATGCGCGCGAGGCTGGCCCCAAAACCTCGGGGATTCCCTTTTAACACGACGCGCGGCGATACGCGCCTCGTCTCGCATCACCTCGTTTATCATAATAAAGGATACGCTTCGACCCGTGAAATTTTTCCCGTCGCGTCGGTTAACGAGGTACAACGGTCGTTAGTAAGTAGTAACGAGATGAGACACGCGCGTGTCCTCGCGCCCACGCAGCTGTTGCTCGCGCAAACAGACGCGTAATCGCGCGTCTGTAAATAAGGGAGGAAAAGCGTCGCGGAATACGGTGAAAATAAACGAGGCAGAGAGGCCGTACCGTAGCCGTTCTACACGGCCAACCGACAGTTATACAATACACCTGTGACGCTTCCGCAGACGCTCGAGGACCTCTTTACCGCCGCCAGACCGTATTTACACGATCTCGGTAACGTTTCTCCGGTCAAACCCTGTAGGTACTTACTCGGGTTTAAAATACAAAAATAAAGGAGCACAGGGTCGCCTCGTAGCCGTCGTAGCGCCTGTTCCTCGTGAAGACGAAACGGTGCTCCTTTTATGACAAGGACGACGGCGTTTCCCGACTCGAAGGAAGAAAAATCTCAGCGAGAGTCTCTCGCCGAACGACGGAGGCAGAGACGGGGATAACAGCTCTTCGTGGGAGGCGAGACACGCTCTCTCAAATTGTTTTCTGGCTGCGAATCGGTTCCCGTGTACCAGATGCGACTGGAACGTTGGTTCGCGCGGATTCCAGCTGGAACCGAGCCGCGAGGCGAACTGAATCGATCCCTTTAACAGCGCGCTCCGATTGTCCATGCAGAAATCAAATTCACTTGACGCTGTGCGGCGCGGCGCGGCGGGCTCGAAGGAATTTCATTTGCCAGATTCTAACGGCGACGCTGCGCAGCACGGGACGCCGCGGCGTACCCTCTCGACCGACTAATTCGTGCTACGCTCGGGACACCGGGTACAACTTTGTAACGCGGACGAATCGCATTTCCTCCCAGCACCGTTATCGATCTCTCAGTCGCCGACCGACGACGTATCCGATCCCATACGTAACGTCGCGTCGTTTGCTTCCAATAAGGTGTCTCCAAAGAGTACGTTAAGCGCTCGCAGGCTCGAGTGCTTTCGCTTAAACATGCGAACCTATTGACAACTTTTTACTGTATAGTCTGTTCAACTCTCTCGTTCAGGAATTTCTGATAAAAGTGTACACAATTTTAAGTTTAGGAGTCTCTTATACAGAGAAGTTAACGTTTAATTCTGGTATCTCCTAGGCGAGAATATTGTACCTGTTTGTAATTTATTCGTGATTCATTGCTTACGCAGTGAGCACATTACGGGAACTAGTTTTTAGATTTGGTAGAAGAAAATACATGCTTAAGACCGGTCTGTGATAGCTAAGCGGGCGGATATTGTTCCAGAAATTGCTCCGCGCTATCTGATTCTGCAATGCATCGGGAATGGAAATGAGAAATAGTGAGAACGGGGAGAAGAACAGCGAAATTTTATTTAGATAGCATTTACAGTTTTATTACTATCTGTGCAGGAAATTTGTTTAGAATTTATCGAGTCGTCTGCTACGCTCCTCTATTGCATTATTCGGACAATTCCATTTGCCAGACTCTCTCACATTAGGAACAACCTGGTAACGTTCCTCTTCTTTTCACATTTAATACTGAAATTTTTATTTATGTAGTCGAGTCTGAGTAAATGTCCAATCACCGTTTGTGTGCCAATCGCCGATCTAGTAGTGCATTTTATCTGCGAACATTTCAAAGGCTCTCTCTGACTGTTTGCAACGTCCCGCGCCACGTTATCAGATTCCATTCGGAAAGATGTGATGAAATGTTTTTATCTCAATTTAGGCGAGAATCGGACGAACCTACCGCCTATACATTTATTTCATTTATCCCGATGTGAAATCAGTCGCCGCGGTTAATTGCAAAATCGTTTACACGAACAGATCTACCAATGCAGTTTGCGAGGGGTAGGAGTATAAGACTCGGTAGGGCGTTGGTGTTGGTGAATTAACGACGATACGTAGTGTGTCTCGACACCGGTAATTCCCTCGACGCCGGTAATTCCCCGGACGGCCGTCTTAACGGGCACGCTGCGCTGCTTCTGAACGCTGCGTACGCGTGCTCGCCACGTACGTCTGTTCAACTGGAATTAAATGTCCACCAAAGGACTTAATACGCAGTTCGTGAGAATGGTCGCCCCGCGCCGGGGCTAACGAAGTTAATCGCTTCCACGGCGCGGAAAGAAGCCGCGAACGTTACGTCAGCCTCGTATCTTTCTTTAGGTGAAAAAGCATGGGAATAAAACCGACACGGTTCGTAATTACGTTCTCGTTCTGGATTAGAATAAACGATGGGCAATCCTTAAATAGAATAGGTAACGCATCTTTGAAACGAAGAGTGAATAACACCATTTTTATAGAATAGTTTCTATTTCCAGTTTTATTCGCAGGTCTTTTTATTCTGTGCTAATTGTCATTTATGGGTAAAGGAGTCAAATTTTTAACTAGACAGCGGAATCAATTAAAGATATATTGTTTGCCACATGAACGGATATTCTATTCAGAAGCTTTTAAAAGAATTTAATTACTGAGTGACAAAAATGTAAACGTCAAATCATGGTTTATTTTTAAGATTGCAGGTTATTCAATAATCTATTTCATACGCGTTCGTTATACACCAAATTCCCTTGC